CTGTAAACTTGGTTTAGACCATGTGCAGTCACTCATGCCTGTAGTTCCAGCACTTTGGGAGGCCCAAGTAGGAGGCTGATTTGAAGCCAGGAGTTTGAGACTAGCCTGGGCAACACAGCAAAACCTCATCTCTACAAAAATTTTTAAAAATTAGCCAAGTGTGGTGGAGCACACCTGTAGTCCCAGCTCTACAGGAGGCTGAGGTGGGAGGATCACTTGAGCCCAGGAGTTTGAGGCTGCATTGAGCTGTAATTGTGCCACTGCATTCTAGCCAAGGGACAGAGCAAGACCCAGTTTCTTAAAAAAATACACACACAAAACAAACAAAAAAATTAGATGGGCGTGGTAGTATACCCCTGTAGTCCTGTCTACTCAAACAGAGGAAACCCTGTCTCAAAACCAAAACAAAACTAAAACCAACTCAGTTTAAATTGTGTTACCTGGAGTTGTCTTTACAGCTGATATGGTGACAGATGCTTTCTGTACCCTCTATTTATTTAATACCGTAAAATGATTCCTCACTTTTCTAAACAACTAAAGCTCTTTGTACCAAAACTTTTCAAAAACTTTTTTTTCAGGGAAATCATTAATTTTGTTTTTAAAACTTCATATATGTTACTTATTAAAGTGAGGATATTGAATAAGCTTTTTTGATTATGCAAAGACATGAACATTCACCGTTGTACTATAAACAATACAATTCTGCGTTTGATTTTTAGTTTTTCAGCCGTTTAGATTGTCATTGTGCCAGGTCATCACCCACCTTCCTTTCTGAGAAGACATATAACCAAGTTTGTTAAGAAGTATCTGCTAACAGTGGCAAATAGGAGCTGATGAACAGTCTAAATCCCTTTCCTCTGGGTCAAGTGCATGGTTTTAACGCTGAGGCTGTGTGGCACCTATTTTAGATACTCTGGGCCAGGAAGCTTTGTTAAGATGAAGTTGCCAGGATGCTCTACCACCAGATAAGTGGAGAATTACTATACCTAATTGAGAGGTACCATGGGGCAGTGAAAGGAGGAGAAAGAGGGACGTGAGCTTTAGAGGAATACTTTATAAAACTAATTAATTATTCTGCCATTATATTGCATTTACCCCTTAACATCAACATATATTGTTGATTGGTTTCTCTGTGCTAATACTATATATACATCTCATTTAACAAATGTAATATCTGCTTTTGACACATGGACCATTGAGACTCAGAGGTTAAATTACCTGCCTATGATTACATAGCTACTAAGTGGTAGAGCTAGGATTTGACCTCAGCTCTGTTTAATGTGAAAGCCCATGCTCCTAACCACTTTGTTACACTGATAATTTAGTTCAGAGAGGATGGATATCCGCTTCATTTTGCATCTAAAGCAATGGGACTTACTTTCTAACACTGTACATACGCATATTTACAAAATTCTACTGCAACAACACAGTTTAGTTTATAAATGCATAGATTTTATAATATTGAAATGTTTACCAGGATTAGTATAAAATGTTTTAAAGAAAAGCTCTTTGACATAAAACCATTCCAAGAATGCAGTGTATCATCTAACTAAATTACATTCAGTAACATAAATTGCATGGTTCAATGCTAGGCATAGTAGGTGCTCTTGGTAGCTATAACTGTTCATTTTGTACAGCCTATTGTAGATTAAATTGATTGAATTCACTGTTTTAATAATTTGAAGTGAAAAAGACAATGCAATGAAATGTCTAGTTTGGATGTCCTTAATTTTCAATTTATAAACATTTGGTTGAAATATAAATTGAATGAAGAAAGGTCTTCCAAACACACTTGAATACTTTAGTATTTCAAAGCATTTTCCTTAAAAGAATTTCTCCTAGCTGAGTGAATTAATTGGATCACTTAATGTTGTTCTTAGAAATACCTAAGAATATTGCAGTTTCACAGTTTTACTTTTATCAATTCATATTATTCTTTTATTTAGTTAACCTGAAATAATGTGGTTTTATTATAAATTTGCTTTCTACGAGGAATTACCTTAACACTAAATTGACAGGCTTCATAAGAAAAAGTGCTTACTTACCAGAGTTCGTTTGCTGTTTCTTAAAATTAGTTAAAGCTTTAACTGTACTCTAATTCCCTAACTGAAGATCAATCATCAAAGGCTAAAATCTCACATATTAGACTGTAATGCTAGAAACACGAAAGTCATATCAATTGGGGAGACTTGTGAAATTCAAGTTTGGTCAACTTCATCCCCCTTAGAGTCCGTTTCTACATTGGTAACTTTAAGAAATCTGTCCTGCATACTCATAACCTTTTTGTAATCAGAGGAAAAATATGTGTAAAAACACTGAAGGAGGACAAGGCAGGAGGATCACTTGAAGCCAGAAGTTCAAGACGAGCCTGGGCAATGTAGTGAGACACTGTCTGTATTTAAAAAAAATAATAATAAAAAAGCAAAAAATAAAACACTTTGAAGATTATTTAAAGTGCTGTGTAGTAAGGTGGTATTTTATTACTTGGTTAAGAGACAGCGTTCTTCCGACAACTACATGACTATTAGAAGTAATACATGAGTGACTTCTCACAAGTAAGTTTGTCACTCATATTTACACCCAACTTACTCTAAAAGGGTAGTACTTTATAGTTAATGTATCACAAAATGTTTTCCAGAAAGGTGAGTAGCAATAAATTACTTGGTCTTTTGGAAATAATGTCATAATTTTTGTATATGAATATATTTGGATATTTATACCTTGTCTTCAGCAAATATGCATTATCCAAGTTAGCATTGGAGTTCCTACCATATTGGGGTTCCTACCATTGAATCCTCTGATTTTCCTTTGGATCTTGGTTCCTCATGCTAATCTTTCTTACTCATTTCTCCAATGACTTTAACCAATGTAGGGAATATACAGGGATTCTGAAAATTCAACAAAATTATGCCTTGAACGATAGGAGTTGTATTCTAGCTACTTTGACCAGAAAGAAAATTTACTCGGTCCGTGAACTAATGGAAACAGCACAGACTGAGTCAGCCCCAGGACTGAATTCAGCAATTAGATTTATTAGGTGTCTGACCTTGAGCCAATCCGTTCAGTCAAACCTCACTTTTTAAAATGTCTGTAAAATAGGGTTAATAACACCTATCTTAAACAGTTGGAATGAAAAGTAAATTAAGATACTGCATATGCAGCACAGTATTTGACACATAATAGGTGCTCAATACAAGTTTTGGGGTTTTTTTCTCTTCCCTTCCTCACCTTTAGGAGAATTTCTTTGTAGCTCCACTGGGCCAATTCATAGACTAGTAAAGAGGAATGAATAGACTGTCTTATCACAGTTGTAATCGTAGAAGATTTTTATTTACCTAGAAATGAATGTCAAAACTGTCAAAGCAAATTCAGTTGTCTGTTCATTTTCAGAAGTTCTGTCAGTCTTTAATCTACCAATTCAGATTCTGCTATATATATACATCACTGATTTCCTAACAGCAGAATTTGACAATTAAATGCTCTCAAAAACATTTTTCTTTTGCTTGCAGAAATATATGCTAGTAGCCTGAGATGCTTTTTCTAATTACAAGAATCCAGAACTAGAGAATAAAACAACCAAGTTAGCATTAGCCATAGCAGTTCTTTTTTCTTTCCTTTTTTTTTTTTTTTTTCTTTTTGAGGCAGCCTTGGTTTGTCATCCAGGCTGGAGTGCAGTTGTGCGATCATGACTCATTGCAGCCTTGACCTCTTGGGCCCAAGTGATCCTCCCACTTCAGCGTCTTGAGTAGCTGGGAATACAGGCACACCCCACCACACCTGGCTAATTTTTAAATTTTTTGTAGAGAGAGGGTCTCCCTATGTTGCCCTGGCTGTTCTGGAACTCCTGGCCTCAAGCAATTCTCCCGCCTTTACCTCCCAAAGTGTTGGGATTACAGGTGTGAGCAACCATGCCCAGCCACCACGCATTTCTTAAACTACTCAAAGCAGAGCAAACTTTTAAATACTATGTCATCTCACGAAAGTGTTTAAGATTGTCAAAGATTTTATGATTCTTGTCTGGTGCGGATTTTTTTGAGACTGGGTCTCACTTTTTGAGCCAACCTAGAGTGCAGAGGTGCCAACATGGCTCACTGCAGGCTTGATTTCCTGGGCTTAAGTGATTCTCCCTCCCCAGCTTCCTGTGTAGCTGGGACCACAGATGTGTGCTATCGTACCCAGCTAATTTTTAACATTCACTTGTAGAGACAGGGAGTCTCACTTTATTGCCCAGGCTGGTCTTAAACTCCTAGGCTCAAGTAAGTGATCCACCCACCTTGGCCTGCTAGAGTATTGGGATTACAGGTGTGAACCATTGTGCCCAGCCCATTCTTTCATGTAATTTATCTTACATTTGATCCTTATTCCATGCTGTTTGTAAATATTAATGAGAATTTTATTAGAAAAATGTTTAAAATACAATTTTTTTTTTTTTTTTGAGACAGGATCTCACTGTCATCCAGGCTGGAGTGCAGTGATGCAAGCTCACTGCTGCCTTGACCTCCTGGGCTCAAGCAATCCTCCCACCTTGGTCTCCCAAGTAGCTGGGACCACAGGCGTGTGCCACCAAGCTCAGCTAATTTTTAAATTTTTTGTACAGATGGGATCTCTTTATGTTGCCACAGCTAGTCTTGAATGCCTGGGCTCAGGTGATCTTCCTGCCTTGACCTCCCAAATTGCTGGGATTGCAGGCATGAGCCACTGCACCTATCCAAACACATTTTAAAATTTCTTGAGGAAAACTCTCTTTTTTTAACTTGTAGCTGCTATATTATTTCAACAGGAGTGACATATCCACCAGATACTAATAATTAAAAAGTACCAGGTACCAGCACACATATGCCCCCACTCAACCCATACCATTAGGATAGTTGTGTTTTCCTGTTCTGAAGTAGTTCAACTTCTATATATTTAGATGATAACTTGAATTTATTTAGATATTATAGGCCACTAAGATTTAAAAAAAAAAATTCAACTGAAGTTAAGTTTTACCTTGTTACCAGATTCAGAAGAAGATGTTGTTGAAACTCCTGCAGTGTCCCATGATGAACATACACACCAAGAGATAAAGGGCCGAAAAACACTGGCAACTCCTGCAGTTCGCCGTCTGGCAATGGAAAACAATGTAAGTTCTCTTAATATTTAAGTCTGAGATTGTATAGAAAGTGTACATTTGTATCTCTGAAAAATTAGCCAACTATCCCATGATGAAATGGCTCAGTGAAATTAAGGAAACATGAAAATATTTGCTACTGAAAAATGATAGTTGCATAAAAATACATGGGAGAAAAGAGAAGTTGTAAACTTATTACTTACTGTCAATTGAGCACTGTGATTTTATTATTCTTTCTTGGAGCCTAATAACAGTAAGAGTTACCATTTATTGAGCACTTGTAAATACCAAGTCTTAGGTCAGGTATTCTAGAGGCGCAGCACGAGATAGGAATTTGAAGGAGGGAAAACCTGTAAAGGGAATGAAGGAGGCAGGATAAGAAAGGGAAGAGAAGGGAAACTGGCCAGACATGGTTATGGTATCAAGCATCTGGCCTGTCCCAAAGCTTGCCATGGTCCTAAGGAAAAAAAGAAAGACTCCGGCCTGATCTGAAGGTGAAGGGGAGAACCACAGAATTACTGCTTTGAGGCAAGGAGGCCCGCCTTTTGTACTTCCTCTGCCAGTCATTGACTGAATGGAAGGTGGAATACCAGGCAGGGTGGCTCCCTGGCACTGGGATAGGTATTTACATATTCTCATTTAACCCCGTAAGATAAGGAGCTGTTTTAAGACTTGGAGGGTTTAAGCAACTAGTCTAAGGTCACACAGCTAACACAGCAACAGAGCCAGGATTCGAAAGTGAGTCTATATCACTCCAAAACCTGTGCTCTTAGACGTTACATACAGCCTCAACAATCATTGCCTCCATTATTGGAGGACATATGTGCCAGACACTGTAGACACATTATCTGTAATCCTCACAAGGACCCTGCAGGAAGGTTGATTAACTTATCTAAAACCAAGTAAACTGAACTAGGAATTTGAACACAAATCTTTCTGGTTCTGAAGCCTGAATACTTTCCACTGTGCCCCACAATGAGACTTTTTTTTTGGTCTCTTTTTGAGAAAACTAAGGTTGCTGTGGGAAAAAAATAAAAGTTTATATTTTGTGAAATATGTAATAGAGTCATTAAAATGTTCATATTCTTTCAGCCAGTTATCCTGCCACAGGGGAACAATTCCCAGAAAATAATCTAGGATACATTCTTCCTTGTATTTTATATAGCCAAAAATTAGAAGATGCATACATGTTCAAAGTCAAATTATGTTATGTATCCTTGATGAAATTTTATGTAACCCTTAAACGTGTTTAAGTATGAAGACCATTTGGCATAGCAGAAAATAGATATAGTAACATGGAACACTAGGTTATTAAGGGCATCCGATGAAATAATGATTTAACATATCGCTTTGAAATCTATAAAGCATTTTAATAATTTTTTTCTTAATAATATAGAAAGGAATATATAGAAGAAATGTATGATTTCGCTTTCCTAAAACACTCCCTCAAGATGTGGATAGGATACTTGGGTAGAATGCTTGTGTGATTACTAAAAATTAAATATTGGATTTAGTTATCAGAAATCATCTTTTTTCTTTCAGTGTGCATATTTCTGAATTGAGGTTGTTTAAAATTAAGAACCAGTGGCATTTACAGTTGTTTGTAACTGCCTAAAAATTATTTGTTTAAATTTTCATAGTCCATTTGTTACACACTTAGTGTTTGCCTTAGTAAAATCCTTTATTATTTTAGACATCCTTAGAGATGCCCTAATACAAATGAAATGGGGCCTATTCCTAAGAAATTAATACATACTATATGTGAGGAGATCATTCCAAGCTCTTATGTTTATTTGTATTTAAATAGAATTAAATGTTTTGTACTGATCTTTCCAAAGCAACTACTAGAAAAATAACATTTGAGAGAGCTTTTGTATTATGATCATCTAAGCTGTTACGTTTTTAACTGATAGCCAACGTCAGAAACATTGGTCTAAATTTGGTAGAGCATTTAGTTTCTCTTAAATTCTCAGCTCTCCCTCTTCTTATGTAGTCCCCAAGAATAGAAAAGGTCGAGTAAGAATTATGCAAGAGATTTTAAAATACTTGAGTATAAAAATGTAAGTTTTCAGCTGGGCAAAGTGGCTCACGCCTGTAATTCCAGCACATTTGGGAGGCTGAGTTGAGAGGATGGCTTGAGGCTAGGAGTTCAAGACCAGCCAGGGCAACAGAGTGAGACCCTGTCTCTACAAAATTTTGTTTTAAAAAGTAAGTTTTCATAAATAGCTCTAGATTATATATAATATAGATACCCGTTGGTTATCACATGCACATGTGAACCATGTATACAAAGTAATAAATGATTACTTAAGTAGAAAATGAAAAGGTTATTTCTTTTTACTAGTTTATTGGACAGATATATTTTACCGTCAACTGATCAAATTCCATTTTGAAACTTTAATGATATTTTTAAGTAGTTGTATTTTTGGCATTAAAATATATCATTTTTTAGATTAAGCTGAGTGAAGTTGTTGGCTCAGGAAAAGATGGCAGAATACTTAAAGAAGATATCCTCAACTATTTGGAAAAGCAGACAGGAGCTATATTACCTCCTTCACCAAAAGCTGAAATTATGCCACCTCCACCAAAGCCAAAAGACATGACTATTCCTATACCAGTATCAAAACCTCCAGTATTCACAGGCAAAGACAAAACAGAACCCATAAAAGGTAATGATAATAATAACAATAATATAAGGCAATAGTTCATTTATTTTGGGGGAAGCTACCTCAGTAAACGTATATAATATGGTGTTTTCAAGTCTTACTGAAGGGAAAGTTCAACCTCAGTCAGCATATAATTTATTTTTTTATTTTTTTTGTTTTTGATACGGATTTTTGCTCTTGTTGCCCAGACTGGAGTGCAGTGGCACGATCTCAGCTCACTGCAGCCTCTGCCTTTCAGGTTCAAGCGATTCTCCTGCCTCAGCCTCCTGAGTATCTGGGATTACAGGTGCATGCCACCATGCTCAGCTAATTTTTTGTATTTTTAGTAGAAACAGGGTTTCATCATGTTGGCCGGGCTGGTCTCAAACTCCTGACCTCAGGTGATCCACCCTCCACGGACTCCCAAAGTGCAGAGATTACAGGCATGAGCCACTCACCGTGCCTGGCCATAATTTTTAAATGATGAAATAACAGCTTTTCCGGGAAACACTTCCAATTTATGTGCACCATTAACTTCTGAAGAGGGATACGTTAGCAGGTTTCTTAAAGTATAAACTTGTATACTGATAATTGCTCTGTTTGAAGACACACAGGATATTTTAAACATTCACTGTTTGTAGTTAGCTTTCAAAATAACTAGTTCTGATTTGTTATGTATAAACTCTTGGAATGATTAACTTCCAGAAGAGTGGCTTTGCAGGAAAACTGTTAGGGAAATACATGGCTTGCATTCTTTTGAATGTTTTATATAACACAGCATTTAAAGCAGTTACCTGCTATGTTATTGCATTTGCCACTGAGTGTCATGATGCAGTCAATGTTCCAGCTTTGAAATTAGTGACTTTCAATGTAAGGTAACGTAATGAAGAGAGTAGTAAGAAGAAGGGTTTAACTGAGAGAGTAAAGGACATTAGAGAACCTTCATTTTAGTTTCTTTAAAAAAAAAAAAAATGAAGAGAGTAGTAAGAAGAAGGGTTTAGCTGAGAGAGTAAAGGACATTAGAGAACCTTCCATTTTAGTTTCTTTAAAAAAAAAAAGGATGAAGAGATTTAAGAATTTAAATAAATGAATAATAATTGAATGCTTTTCAGGCTTTCAAAAAGCAATGGTCAAGACTATGTCTGCAGCCCTGAAGATACCTCATTTTGGTTATTGTGATGAGGTTGACCTTACTGAACTGGTTAAGCTCCGAGAAGAATTAAAACCCATTGCTTTTGCTCGTGGAATTAAACTCTCCTTTATGCCTTTCTTCTTAAAGGTGAGATTTCATTCATTTCAAACAAAGCTTGAGTAGGACATTTATTTGTTTGTTTGTTTTTTTGAGACAGAGTTTTGCTCTTGTCAACCAGGCTGGAGTGCAATGGCGCGAACTCGGCTCACTGCAACCTCTGCCTCCCGGGTTCAAATAATTCTCTTGCCTCAGCCTCCCAAGTAGCTGGGAATACAGGCACCTGCCACCATGCCTGGCTAATTTTGTATTTTTAGTAGAGACGTGGTTTCACCATGTAGGTCAGGCTGGTCTCGAACTCCTGACCTCAGGTGATCCACACCCACCTCGGACTCCCAAAGTTCTGGAATTCCAGGCGTGAGCCACCGCATCCGGCCCCCCAAGTAGGACATTTAAATTTTGCTTTGCCAACATACAATGTGTTGACTGTGACCTTGAATAAAAATATTACTTTTCACAACATCAAATAGTTAGAAAATGTGCCATTTCTTTGTTTAATAGGAAATTATAAAATTGAAATGTCTATATCATATTTTTAGCTACTTATCTTTGAGCTAGGTAGAGACAATTCTGCCAGTTAAGTAAAGCCTTTAATCCTAAAAGGATCACTCCAGCCAAGTCCTGGTTTGAACTAAAATGAGACTTGATATTAATTTTGCAGTATCACTGACATATATTTAATATTTATTTTCATTTATTCAACAAACTTATATTGAGGCTCCTGGGAATCATTTCTAGTGCTAAGCCTTGGGACCAGTATAAAATGGAGTAAGATCATCAGCTGACCTTGAGCAGCTTACAGTCTAGCTCACATTAGTGACTGTGCAGCAGTTACCATGTGCCCAGCTCCGTATTAAGCATGCTGTATACATTATCTCTTAATTCTCAAGTAACCCTGACATGTAAATATTACTATCCCCACTTTCCATTTAAGGAAATTGGGGCTCAGAGAGGTTGAGAAACTTGTTAAGGACTTATAGCTAACAGTTGGAGAAGCTCTTTCAGATTCTGGTCTGTTCTACTCTGAAGGACATACTGATGTCTCTAATGCGAGCATGTTCAGTCCTTTCTCTACACTGCACCAAGACTGGTCTTCTGTAAATCAAATTATTGTAATATTCTCTGATTCTTTTCAGTGGTTCCCTTTCATTGCCTTTAGGATAATTTCCATACTCCTTAGTGTGGCATACAAATGTGTTGTAAGTCTCTGCTGCCTGCCTCTCTGTTCTTATCTCACTCCCTCATATGAAGCTACCCATAATTGCTAGAATACACAATTCCACTCAAAGTACCCCTTCTTCTCCATCAAACACCTGCAAATAAATCCCAAATTGTGGTCAGGTACAGACTCCTTCTGTGGCTGTCACTATTTGAATTAAATACTCTTGTTTCCCACTGTTACTTATCTCAGTGCATTGTGAGTGCTTACTCAGTTTTCTCTTCACTTACTCACTTACTGGGTGCTGAGCCTCATGAGGCAGAAACTGTTCTCCTTTATCTCCCTTTTTTTTTTTTTTTCTAAGAAAGGGTTCTCTCAAGGCAGGCAGATTGCTTGAGCTCAGGAGTTCAAGAACAGCTTGGGCAGAATGGTGAAACCCCATCTCTACAAAAAATACAAAAGTTACCTGGGCATGGTGGCACACACCTGTAGTCCCAGCTACTCGGGAGGCTGAGGCAGGAGGATCACTCAAACCAAGGAGGTTGAGGCTACAGTGAGCTGAGATCATGCCACTGCACTCCAGCCTGGGTGACAAAGCAAGACCCTGTCTCAAAAACAAACAAGAAAAAAACTTCCAAGTCATAAAAATTAAGGAACTCATAGCAGTTCTTTTCGTTGTATTTTTCTTCAGTTCATCTACTCTCTTAACCTGTCCTAACTAAATTAATGACTGTGAAATGTCTCTATATATTTAAACTTTTTTCTTAACTCTCTAGTTCAAGAATTTGATTTTTTTCCATCAAGACCCCTGATGCACTGAGAAAAATAACACAATGCATGTAAAGAACTTTAACAGGGACCAGAAAAGGGCAGTGGGGAAGGGAATTGTTTTTAAGAATGATCTTAAGCATTTTTATTTTGCTATCTTTTAAATTTAATACAATGCATGACCACCACATGTAAGGTATGAAACTTGATTATTAGATCCCGAATGGGCAGGGGAACAGATATCAAGAACATTTGGATACAGTTAGGGAAATCTGAATATAGATAGGAGAGAAATGGTAGTAAATGACAAAAGGAAAAAGAAAGGGAGAAGGCAGCAGAGAGGGAAAATGTAAATGCTATTCAGTGAGACTTGAACTGTAAAGTAAATGTTCAGGCCATCTCTGCCCTTCAGCTGGCCAAGGACACCAAGTAGCAAATTGGCATCTAATGGTCAGTGTGCTTTGAAATCCTCATTACGTGTTCTTTCCACACACGGAAATAGCTTACCTGCTTTTTTGTGTTTTGATTCCTAGTTTTGAACCACAGGTTTACTTCTCATGGAAATCTTACGATTCAACATGTCAGTGAGGAGATCACCTAGAATTTAGGCGTTTTCTTTGGAACTTTGGCTGGTCTGCATCATTATTTTGAAAATCTCCTTGATGTTTACAAGCTACCTGACTATCTTTCATTCTTTAATGATTAGGGTGACCTAGTTCTACACTGCTTGAAGGTAACATTGGCAATAATGTGACTAGATACATGTAGACTTGAAATTAAACTCAGCATAAATAAGAGTTCACTCTCTCCCTCCTTTTATACCTCTTATTGTTTCAAATTCCCTATCCTTTCTGAGTTAAAAGTGCTAAAATTGCATTCTTTTTCTGTTAAACAGGCTGCTTCCTTGGGATTACTACAGTTTCCTATCCTTAATGCTTCTGTGGATGAAAACTGCCAGAATATAACATATAAGGTTGGCTACGCAGAAAATGTTATTATTATTAATAGAAGATGGGGCAAATGTGCTTGTAGGTTAGAGAAACTTCTATTGTACTTTAAATAGTGATCTTTTTTAGACTAGAATTAAAGGTATGGGGTAAAACATTAAACTTAAGTCTAATTCTTTGTTGTTGTTTTTGTGTTTAATAATACTGTTTAGATATGGAGATTCTTAAAACCATTTTTAAGCTTTTTTTTTTGTTTTCTGCTTAAAATAATGGAAATATAGCTGTATGGCAGATTATGTTACCCGCTCTACTTACCCTCTCAAAAAGAAGCAAGTCTTTCAAAATTGAATTCCTGGAATTTTAATTTTTTTATTATTATTATTGTTTTATTATTATTATTATCATTATTGGCAGAGTCTCACCCTGTCACCAGTTTGGAGTGCAGTGCTATGATCGTGGCTCACTGCAACCTCGACCTCTCAGGCCCAAGCAATCCTTCTGCCCCAGCCTCCTGTGTAGCTGGGACTATAGGCATGCGCCACTATGCCCAACTAATTTTTAAGTTTTTTGTAGAGACGTGGTCTCATTATGTTGCCCAGGCTGGTGTTGAACTTCTGGTCTCAAGCAATCCTCCTGCCTCAGCCTCCCAAAGTGCTGGGATTACAGGCATGAACCACTACACCTGGCAAATTCCTTGAATTTTAAGATTAAGAATAATTTAAGTGAGAAAAGTAATAAAAGTTTGAATTCAATTTGAGTAAACTCTTCTGTGAGCAGTGAAAGTTTCTTAAGACCGAGAACTCTTTTGGAGATGCTTTTCCTTAAGTTTACTTATCTTTAGACGTGTACAGCCAGAGGCTGGGCACAGTGGCTCATGCCTGTAATCCCAGTACTTTGGGAGGCCAAGGCGGGTGGATTATGTAAGGTCAGGAGTTTGAGACCAGCCTGGCCAACATGGTGAAACCCTGTCTCTGCTAAAAATACAAAAATTGGCCAGGTGTGGTGGCCAGCACCTATAGTCCCAACTACTCAGGAGGCTGAGGTGGGAGAATTGTTTGAACCCAGGAGGCAGAGGTTGCAGCGAGCCAAGATTGTGCCACTGCACTCCAGCGTGGGCGACAAGAGCAAAACTCTATTTCAAAAAGAGAATTAAAAAGAAAAAAAGAAAAGAAATGTACGACCAGAAAGTAAGCTTAGATATTCTGGGAGGTCAGCTCCCATATGGTTAATACAGCCAGCTGTATTAATTTTAATTTTAATATCTCCTGATTAAGTATATACTTATCACAAAAATTTCGGGCAAGAAAATCATGATGTTGGCTGGGTGTGGTGGCTCCTGCCTATAATCCCAGCACTTTAGGGGACAGAGGTAGGAGGATGGCTTGAGCCCAGGAATTCGAGACCAGCATGGGCAACAAAGTGAGGAGGCCCCCATCTCTACAGAAAAAAAAAATTAGCCAGGCATGGTAGTGCATACTTATAGTTTTAGCTACTTGGGAGGCTGAGGCAGGAGAATCATATGATACCTAGGAGATGGAGGTTGCAGTGAGTTGTGATCATGCCACTGCACTCCAGCCTAGGTGACAAAGTGAAACCCTGCCTTTGTCAAAAATAAAAAAAAAAGAAAGAAAAGGAAAAAGAAAACAAAGATGTTTACCCTCAATTCCATGACCCTAAGATAACTCACTGTTTATGTTGAGATATACATCTTTCTAGGATTTCATTTTCACATACTTTTTACAAGATATAGAATTGTTAATATTTTCTTTAACTTGCTTTTTTTCTGTTTCTTTTGTTTTGTTTTGTTTTTGAGACAGGGTCTCACTCTGTTGCCTGTCTAAAGTATTCCCATAGAGAATATCTATGCTGTGGTGCAATCATCACCTCACAGCAGCCTCCACCTCCCACCTCAGCCTTCTGAGTAGCTGGGACTACAGGCACCTGCCACCATGCCCAGCTAATTTTGTTTTTTTTTTTTTTTTGTAGAAATGGGGTCTTGCCATGTTGCCCAGGCTGGTCTCTGACTCCTGGGCTCCAGTGATTCACCCACCTCAGCCTCCCAAAGTGCTGGGTTACAGGCATGAGCCACTGTGCCCAGCCTCTTCTTTTTCGTTTACTATATTGTAAACATCATTATGTGTCAACACATATAGCTTTGTTATTTATTTAGCCAGTGACCTGTTTATAAACATTATGATTATTTGCAGTTTCTCAAACTAATAAACAGTGTGTACTCAACATCCCTGCGTATCCCTACATACTTCTGCATTTAGTTCCTTAACACAAATTTTTATAAATGTTGGTACATATTGTCATATGTTCTCCAAAAAGTCTATACAGGTTAAGTATCCGTTACCTGAAATGCTTGGGACCAGAAGTGTTTTGGATTTAAGATTTTTTTTTGGATTATGGGATATTTGCATATACAAAGGAGACATCTTGAGGATAGGACCCAAGTCCAAACATGAAATTCACTTATGTTTCATTTACCCCTCATACACATAGCCTAAGGGTAATTTTATACAATATTTTTAACATTTTTATACATGAAACAATTTTTTTTTTTCTTTTTTTGAGACGGAGTCTTGCTCTGTAGCCCAGGCTGGAGTGCAGTGGCGTGATCTCGGCTCACTGCAAGCTCCGCCTCCTGGGTTCACACCATTCTCCTGCCTCAGCCTCTCAGGTAGCTGGGACTACAGGCGCCCGCCACCACACCCAGCTAATTTCTTTTTGTATTTTTAGTAGAGACAGGATTTCACTGTGTTAGCCAGGCTGGTCTTGATCTCCTGACCTTGTGATCCACCCGCCTCAGCCTCCCAAAGTGCTGGGATTACAGGCACGAGCCACTGTGCCCGGCCACACAGTTTTCTTTTTTTCTTTTTTTGACACAGGGTTTTGCTCTGTCACCCATGCATAATCATAGCTTATTGTAACCTAAAACTCTTGGGGTCAAATGATCCTCCCACCTCAGCCTCCCAAGTAGTTGAGACTACAGGCATGTGCCATAATACTCAGCTAATTAAAAAAATTTTTTTTGTAGTGATGGAGTCTTGCTACGTTGCCCAGGCTGGTCTTGAACTCCTGGCCTCAAGCAATCCTTCTGCATCAGTCTCCCAAAGTGTTGGGATTATAGGCACGAGCCACTATGCCCTGCCAGAACAATGGCTGCATTTTTCTGTTTTTTTTTTTTTTTAATTGATGGGCTCTGATATGGTTAAATATTACAAAATGAGAACTGTTTCAACAACTATGCAGCATAATGTTTAAGGACAAAATATTGAATATACTTTTTATTATATATGTATTTTATCACATAGTAAGGAATGCTGAGATACTTAATCCATCCAATAAATCGAAAATAAAAACTTTACATTTCTGTATTTGTCAGTATAGAGAATTCTGAAGATGGATCTTGACTCAGGGTGATAAATCAATTTTCAAGGAAATTGGCTACATGACATGACATTTCAGCCCTCAAAAGTTTCAGATGTTGGAGCATTTCAGATTTCAGATATTTGAACTAGGGATGCTCAACCTGTACCAGTTACATTTGCACTGACAGTGTTGGGAAATAGCTTATTGCCTACATTCTTATCAACAAAAACATTATCTTTTTTTAGACAGAGTCTTACTCTGTCTCCCAGGCTAGAGTACAGTGGTACAATCTCGGCCCACTGCAACCTCCACCTCCCGGGTTTGAGCGATTCTCATGCCTCAGCCTCCTGAGTAGCTGGGATCACAGGCCTGTGCCACCTTGCTAATTTTTGTATTTTTAGTAGAGATGGGGTTTCACCATGTTGGCCAGGCTGGTCTTGAACTCATTACCTCAGGTAATCCAGCCACCTTGGCCTCCCAGAGTGCTGGGATTACAGGCGTGAGCCACTGCACCTGGCCCAAAAAATCTTTTAACAATTATTTTTAAATTATTTCTTTTAAATCGCTACCAATTTGGTAAAAATGAGTCTTGGTAGTGGTTTCTAGATGACAGTGAAGGTTGATCCTTTCTTTGCTGTTAGCTTATTCATTAAAAGCCCTACTGTATAATTTTTTATTTTTTAGGCTTCTCATAATATTGGGATAGCAATGGATACTGAGCAGGGTTTGATTGTCCCTAATGTGAAAAATGTTCAGATCTGCTCTATATTTGACATCGCCACTGAACTGAACCGCCTCCAGAAATTGGGCTCTGTGGGTCAGCTCAGCACCACTGATCTTACAGGAGGAACATTTACTCTTTCCAACATTGGATCAGTGAGTAATAATGTTGACATACATAAACCATTGCTTAAGTTTCTGATCATATGCTTAATTAAAAATAGAAAATGTCACTTGGCATTTGTTCCCTGAAAAATCCTAACTTGTAATACTCTCCTTTTTTTTTTTTTTTTTTTTTTTTACATAGATTGGTGGTACCTATACCAAACCAGTGATATTGCCACCTGAAGTAGCCATTGGGGCCCTTGGATCAATTAAGGTACATGTATTAGATAACTGAAAAATCGAGTTTAAGCAAATTCAGGGACTCAACACAATGAAGAGTAACCATTTCTAAGGTTTCCCCCTCATTTTGTAGGTTTAAGTTTCTGAGTTTGCCTTAGAAAGTCCATTATTTCTTTTTTCTTTCTTTTTTTTTTTTTTTTACTTTAAGTTCTGGGATACATGTGCAGAATGTGCAGGTTTGTTACATAAGTATACACATGCCAGGATGGTTTGCTGCACCCATCAACCCGCCGTCATCTACATTATTTCTCCTAATGCTATCCCTTCCCTAGCCCCCCACCATGTGACAGGTCCCCAGTGTGTGATGTTCCCCATCCTCTGTCCTTGTGTTCTCATTGTTCAACTCCCACTTATGAGTGAGAACATGAAGTGTTTGGTTTTCTGTTCCCGTGTTAGTTTGCTGAGAATGATGGTTTCCAGCTTCATCCATGTCCCTGCAAAGGACATGAGCTCACTCCTTTTTGTGGCTGCATAGTATTCCATGGTGTCTATGTGCCACATTTTCTTTATCCAGTCTAACATTGATGGGCATTTGGGTTGGTTCCAAGTCTTTGCTATTGTGAATAGTGCTGCGGTAAACATACGTGTTCATGTGTCTTTATAGTAGCATGATTTATAATCCTTTGGGTATATACTCAGTAATGGGATTGCTGGGTCAAATGGTATTTCTGGGTCAAATGGTATTTCTGGTTCTAGAGCCTTCAGGAATCACCACACTGTCTTCCACAATGGTTGAACTCATTTACACTCCCACCAACAATGTAAAAGCGTTTCTGTTTATCCACATTCTCTCCAGCACCTGTTATTTCCTGCCTTTTTAATGATCACCATTGTAACTGGCGTGGTATTTCATTGTAGTTTTGATTTGCATTTCTCTAATGGCCAATGATGATGAGCTTTTTTTCATATGTTTGTTGGCTACATAAATGTCTTCTTTTGAAAAGTGCCTGTTCATATCCTTTGCCCACTTTAAGATGGGTTGTTTTTTTTCATGTAAATTTGTTTAAGTTCCTTGTAGATTCTGGATATTAGCCATTTGTCAGATGGATAGATTACAAAATTGTTCTCCCATTCTATAGGTTGCCTGTTCTCTCTGATGATAGTTTCTTTTGCTGTGCAGAAGCTCTTTAGTTTAATTAGATCTGATTTGTCAATTTTGGCTTTTGTTACAATTGCTTTTGGTGTTTTAGTCATGAAGTCTTTGCCCATGCCTATGTCCTGAATAGGTTTTCCTCTAGGGTTTTTATGGTTTTAGGTCTTACATTTCAGTCTTTAATCCATCTTGAGTTAATTTTTGTATAAGGTGTAAGGAAGGGGTCCAGTTTCAGTTTTCTGCATATGGCTAGCCAATTGTCCCAACACCATTTATTAAATAGGGAATCCTTTCCCCATTTCTTGTTTTCATCAGGTTTGTCAGAGATCAGACGGGTTGTAGATGTGTGGTGTTATTTCTGAGGCCTCTGTTCAGTTCCATTGGTTTATCTCTCTATTTTGGTACCAGTACCATGCTGTTTTGGTTACTGTAGCCTTGTAGTATAGTTTGAGATCAGGTAGCATGATACCTCCAGCTTCGTTCTTTTTGTTTAGGATTATCTTGGCTATGTGGACTCTTTTTTGGTTCCATGTGAAATTTAAAGTAGTTTTTTCTAATTATGTGAAGAAAGTTAGTGGTCGCTTGATGGAATAGAATTGAATCTATAAATGACTTTGGGCAGTTTGGCCATTTTCACAATATTGATTCTTCCTATCCATGAGCATGGAATGTTTTTCCATTTGTTTGTGTCCCCTTGTATTTCTTTGAGCAGTGGTTTGTAGTTCTCCTGGAAGAGGTTCCTCACATCCCTTGTAAGTTGTATTCCTAGGTATTTTATTCTCTTTGTAGCAATTGTGAATGGGAGTTTCCTCATGATTTGGCTCACTGTTTGTCTGTTATTGATGTATAGGAATGCTGTGATTTTTGCACATTGATTTTGTATCCTGAGACTTTGCTGAAGTTGCTTATCAGCTTAAGGAGATTTTGGACGGAACTGATGGGGTTTTCTAAATATACAATCATGTCATCTGCAGACAGAGTTAATTTGACTTCCTCTCTTCCTATAGAATACGCTTTATTTCTTTCTCTTGCTTGATTGCCCTGGCCAGAACTTCCAATACTATGTTGAATAGGAGTGATAAGAGAGAGGGCATCCTTGTCTTGTGCCGATTTTCAAAGGGAGTGCTTCCAGCTTTTGCCCTTTCAGTATGATATTGGCTGTGGGTTTATCATAAATAGCTCTTATTATTTTGAGATATGTTCCATCAATACCTAGTTTATTGAGTGTTTTTAGCATGAAGCGGTGTTGAATTTTATCAAAGGCCTTTTCTGTATCAATTGAGATAATCATGTGGTTTTTGTCATTGGTTCTTTGTGTAATGGATTACGTTTATTGATTTGCATATGTTGAACCAGCCTTGCATCCCAGGGATGAAGCTTACTTGATTGTGATGGATAAGCTTTGTAATGTGCTGCTGGATTTGGTTTGCCAGTATTTTGTTGAGGATTTTTGCATCAGTGTTCATCAGGGATATTGGCCTGAAATTTTCTTTGTGTGTGTGTCTCTGCCAGCTTTTGGTATCAGGATGATGCTGGCCTCATAAAATGAGTGAGGGAGGATTCCCTCTTTTTCTATTGTTTGTAATAGTTTCAGAAGAAATGGTATCAGCTCCTCTTTGTACCTCTGGTAGAATTTGGCTGTTAATCTCTCTGGTCCTGGGCTTTTTTTGGTTGGTAGGCTGTTAATTACTACCTCAATTTCAGAACTTGTTATTGGTCTATTCAGGGAGTCAACTTTTTCCTGATTTAGTCTTGGGAGAGTGTATGCATCCAGCAATTTATCCATTTCTTCTAGATTTTCTAGTTTATGTGTGAAGAGATGTTTATAGTATTCTCTGATGGTAGTTTGTATTTCTGTGGGATCAGTGGTGATATCCTCTTTATCATTTTTTATTGTGTCTATTTGATTCTTCTCTCTTTTGTTCTTTATTAATCCAGCTAGCGGTCTATCTATTTTGTTAATCTTTTCAAAAAAAAAAAAAAAACAGCTCCTGGATTCATTGATTTTTTTGAAGGGTTTTTTGTGTCTCTATCTCCTTCAGTTCTTCCCTGATCTTGGTTATTTCTTGTCTTCTGCTAGCTTTTGAATGTGTTTGCTCTTGCTTCTCTAATTCTTTTAAATTTGATTTTAGGGTGTTGATTTTAGATTTTTCCCACTTTCTTCTGTGGACATTTAGTGCTATAAATTTCCCTCTACACATGCTTTAGCTGTGTCTCAGAGATTCTGGTACGTTGTGTCTTTGTTCTCATTGGTTTCAAAGAATATCTTTATTTCTGCCTTCATTTCGTTATTTACCCAGCAGTCATTCAGGAGCAGGTTGTTTGGTTTCCATGTAGTTGTGTGGTTTTGAGTGAGTTTCTTAATCCTGAGTTCTAATTTGATTGCACTGTGGTTTGAGAGACTGCTTGTTATTGTTTCCATTCTTTTGCATTTGCTGAGGAGAGTTTTACTTCCAATTGTGTGTTCGATTTTAGAATAAGTGCGATGTGGTGCTGAGAAGAATATATATTCTGTTGATTTGGGGTGGAGAGTTCTGTAGATGTCTATTAGGTCCACTTGGTCCAGAGCTGAGTTCAAGTCCTGAAGGTCCATGTTAATTTTCTGTCTGGTTAATCTGTCTAATATTGACAGTGGGGTGTTAAAGTGTCCCACTATTATTGTGTGGGAGTCTCAGTCTCTTTGCAGGTCTCTAAAAACTTGCTTTATGAATCTGGGTGCTCCTGTATTGGGTCCATATATATTTAGGATAGTTAGCTCTTCTTGTTGCATTGATCCCTTTAACATTATGTAATGCCCTTCTTTGTCTTTTTTATCTGTGTTGGTTTAAGGTCTGTTTTATCAGAGACTAGGATTGCAACCCCCGCCTCTTTTTTTTTTTTTTTTTTTTTTTTGCTTTCCATTTGCTTGGTAAATCTTCCTCCATCCCTTCATTTTGAGCCTATGTGTATCTTTGCACATGAGATGGATCTCCTGAATACAGAACGTCGATGGGTCTTGACTCTTTATCCAATTTGCCAGTCTTTGTCTTTTAATTGGGGCATTTAGGCCATTTACATTTGAAGTTAATATTGTTATGTGCAAATTTGATCCTGTCATTATGATGATAGCTGGTTATTTTGCCCGTTAGTTGATGCAGTTTCTTCATAGTGTTGATGGTCTTTACATTTTGGGTTGCTTTTGCAGTGGCTGGTACTGGCTTTTCCTTTCCCTATTTAGTGCTTCCTTCAGAAGCTCTTATAAGGCAGGCCTGGTGGTGACAAAATTCCTCAACATTTGCTTGTCTGTAAAAGATTTTATTTCTCATTCACTTATGAAGCTTAATTTGGCTGGATATGAAATTCTGGGTTGAAAATTCTTTTCTTTAAGAATGTTGAATATTGGCCCCCACTCTCTTCTGGCTTGTAGAGTTTCTGCAGAGAGATCCACTGTTAGTCTGATGGGCTTCCCTTTGTGGGTAACCCGACCTTTCTCTCTGGTTGCCCTCAACAATTTTTTCCTTCATTTCAACCTTGGTGAATCTGATGATTATGGGTCTTGGGGTTGCTCTTCTCGAGGAATATCTTTGTAGTGTTTTCTGTATTTCCTGAATTTGAATGTTGGCCTGTCTTGCTAAGTTGGGGAAGTTTTCCTGAATAGTATACTGAAGTGTGTTTTCCAACTTGGTTCCATTTTCCCTATCACTTTCAGGTACACCAATCAAATGCAGTTTTGGTCTTTTTCACATAGTCTCATATTTCTTGGAGGTTTTGTTTGTTCCTTCTCATTCTTTTTTCTCTAAGCTTGTCTTCACGCTTTATTTCATTAAGTTGATCTTCAGTCTCTGATATCCTTTCTTCCGCTTGATCGATTCAGCTACTGATACTTGTGTATGCTTCACAAAGTTCTTGTGCTGTGTTTTTCAGCTCCATCAGGTCATTTATGTTCTTCTCTAAACTGGTTATTCTAGTTAGCAGTTCCTCTAACCTTTTATCAAGGATCTTAGCTTCCTTGCATGGGTTAGAACATGCTCCCCTAGCTCGGAGGAGTTTGTTATTACCCATCTTCTGAAGCCTACTTGTGTCAATTCATCAAACTCATTCTCCGTCCAGTTTTGTTCTCTTGCTGGCAAGGAGTTGTGATCCTTTGGAGGAGAAGAGGCGTTCTGGTTTTTGGTATTTTCAGCCTTTTTGCACTGGTTTTTCCTCATCTTTGTGGATTTATCTACCTTTGGTCTTTGCTGTTGGTGACCTTCGGATGGAGTTTTTGCATGGTCGTCCGTTTTGTTGATGTTGATGCTATTGCTTTCTGTTTGTTAGTTTTCCTTCTAACAGTCAGGCCCCTCTTCTGCAGATCTGCTGGAGTTTGCTGGGGGTCCACTTCAGACCCTGTTTGCCTGGGTATCACCAGTGGAGGCTGTAGAACAGCAAAGATTGCTGCCTGCTCTTTCCTCTGGAAGCTTCATCCCAGAGGGGCACCTGCCAGATGCCAGCGAGAGCTCTCCTGTATGAGTTGTCTGTCAACCCCTGCTGGGAGGTGTCTCCCCGTCAGGAGGAATGGGGTCAGGGACCCACTTGAGGAGGCAGTCTGTCCCTTAGCAGAACTCAAGTGCTGCGCTGGGAGATCCACTGCTCTTTTTACAGCCGGCAGGCAGGAAGGTTTAATTCTGCTGAAGCTGTGCCCATAGCCGCCTCTTCCCCCAGGTGCTCTGTCCCGGGGAGATGGGAGTTTTATCTATAAGCACCTGACTGAGGCTGCTGCCTTTCTTTCAGAGATGCCTGACCAGAGAGGAGGAATCTAGAGAGGCAGTCTGGTTAACAGTGGCTTTGCGAGCTTCTGTGGGCTCTGCCCAGTTCAAACTTCCCTGTGGCTTTGTTTACACTGTGAGGGGAAAACCACCTACTCAAGCCTCAGTAATGGTGGATGCCCCTCTGCCCACCAAGCTCGAGCGTCCCAGGTTGACTTCAGACTGCTGTGCTGGCAGCGAGAATTTCAAGCCAGCAGATCTTAGCCTGCTGGGCTCTGTGGGGGTGGAATCCACTGAGCAAGACCACTTGGCTCCTTGGCTTCAGCCACCTTTCCAGGGTAGTGTACAGTTCTGTCTCACTGGTGTTCCAGGCACCACTGGGGTATGAAAAAAAAAAAGGCAACTAGCCTGGTGTCTGCCCAAACAGCCTCCCAGTTTTGTGCTTGAAACTCAGGGCCCTTGTGGTGTAGGCATCCGAGGGAATATCCTGGTCTGTGGGATGCAAAGACCATGGGAAAAGCACAGTATCTGGGCTGGATAGCATCATCTCTTACAGCAGGGTCCCTCATGGCTTCCCTTGGCTAGGAGGTAGTTCCCTGACCCCTTGCACTTCCCAAGTGAGGTGACGCCCCATCCTGCTTCCACTGGCCCTCCATGGGCTGCACCCACTGTCTAACCAGTCCCAATGAGTCGAACTGGGTACCTCAGTTGGAAATGCAGAAATCACCCATCTTCTGCCTTGGTCTCACTGGGAGCTGCAGACCGGAGCTGTTCCTGTTCGGCCATCTTGCCCAGGAATCCAAAAACCTATTATTTCTTCCTAAGAGCTAGGCCTGCACTTCTGGTGGCTACCTCTATGTGTAATAAATGGTGGCGATCTGGGTTGTTTCTGTATGGATCAACCATTGTGGATTATGCCAGGCACAGATATTGAGTCTTTATGAATAATCACAAATATAGCCAGTCTACTTCTATCAAAATATCTTCATTTCATTATACCAAAGAATAATAGAAAACTAATTCAAAATGTTATTTTAAACAAAGTGAGACTCATTTAGAGCATTCTTTGCTCAGGAATCATTGGGAGTGTTAGTTAAAAGTGCAGATTTCTTTACCTTAGGGGTGGAACCCTCAGAACTTAAATTTTGAACAGGAACCCAAATGAGTACGAAAAGGTGATAGGTGACAGTGGTTTAGAAGACACGGACTTAGAATAAGGGTTGCAATGATTCTTAACCCTGGCTACATGTTAGAATCATATGGGAGCTTGAAAAAAAAATTATGGCCAAGCTTCCCCTCTACCAACTGAATTGGAATTTTGGGGGATGGGACTTGGGTACCCCCATTAATTCAGGGTTGAGGACCACTGAGGCAAATATGCTCCTGGATACCACTTCAATACCATGTTTATTAAATGTCATTGTCACTACATTAAGGAGAGTGTATTTTAAGAAGAGCCTTTCTTTTCTGTACTTACAATGCTTCCATGTTGAACGTCTGTGGGACTTGTCCTCATGAGTTTATTCCTTGCATGTTGGAACCCTTACAGATGCTTCCCTTCAGCCTTTGATTTGCTTTCTAGCAGATAGTAAATTAGCATCTAAGTCGTTCCCCCTTTCTGGCATCCACTTACCCTTCTGGCAAGCAGAGGAGTTAGGGAGAAAAAACCAAAAACACACAGTATGTCACTATTCTTTCCAAATCAGGAGTTCTCTGAGTGATAACTTCTATCACTCATTCTCTTTTCCAACAAGAATTCAACATTTGATTCTCAAAAAATTCTGGCTTCCTGAAGTTTCCAAACCATTATACCTGTTTGACAAAATTTTGTGTTCTCTTTCCTTAAAGAGATTTATCCTCTGAATTATATGTGTATATGTATATAACTGTAAAATATATAAACATAACTTGACCATTTAAACCATTTTTAAGTATATTGTTCAGTGGCTTAAGTACATTTACATTGTTTGCCACCATCACCACATCTGTCTCCAGAACTTTTTCATTATCCCAAACTGAAACTCTGCATTTACTGAATAATCTCTCCATTTCCCAAGCCTTTGGTAACCACCATTCTATTTTCTGTCTCTATGGATTAATTGGACTATTCTAGGTACCTCATGTAAGTGGAATCAATACAGTATTTGTCCTTTTGTATCTGGCTCAGGGTTCATTCATGTTGTAGCATGTATCAGAATTTCATTAATTTTTAAGGGTAAATAATATACTATTTTATATAAATATATACCGTGTTTTGTTTATCCATTCATCTGTCAGTGAATATTTGGATTATTTCCATTTTTTGGCTCTCATGAATAATGCTGCTATGAACAAAAGAATATTTGATTTATAAATATCTGTTCAATAGATATATTTTTACAAAATCATTTTATCCTAGTTTCTTCAAGCCATGAAACATAGTTCTGAGAGAAGAAATCTTATTCATCACTTAAAATAATATTTGTTGGATAGGGACAAATAGTATTTAATTCCTTTCTCCCTTTGTATCATCTTTCCTTTGCTATTTTGTTTTCATTATAGAATTTAATTCCTTCTTGCTCAATTATTTAAGTCATTAAGCCTTCCATGTTACTCAATTCTCAGTATTTGTTTTCCTTGACCTACTAGTTGACCTTGAGATGATTGATCAATCCAACCTCTTTGGAAAACATTCTTAATGTTGACTTGCAGCATACCTGGCCATTTTGGTTTTCCTCCTTTGTCACTGCCTATTCTCTCTAAGTCTCCTTTACCCATACCTCCTAATGTTCCCAATCTCTACACATTGAAGCACCCCAGGATTCAGTTCTCACCCCTTTTCTTTATCTGATCTTTCAATACCATTTATACACTGATGACTCCCAGGTTTATATCTCTAGACCAGACCTCACTTTTGAGCTTTAAACTCTTATATCTTGCTTGGATGTGTAAAGGCATCTTGAATTTTAGCATGTCTAAAACTGAGCTCCTGCTCGTTTCCCCACTGCCCCCCCCATCAGACCTGCTCCTCCTAAAGTCGTCCTCTTTCAGTGAATGGCCAATCTGCTCAGACACTTCTAAGGGCTTCTCATCTCATTCAGAATCAAAGACAAGTAGTTGCAGTGGCCTACATGGCTTTACACAGATGCTACTTAGTGTCATCAGGGATCCACATCTGGCTGTGACTGTTGTATTCCAGCCATGAGGAGATCAGTATAGAAAAACAGAGTAGGGCTTAGAAACTTTTAGAGTAGTTTGACAGCATGATTTTATGTCTATTGAATCTAATAATAAGTTGGGGCTTATATTTTGTCTATCCTTTTTTTTTTTTTTTAACAGTGAAAAGATACATATTTAGAATTAGCCAGCTGGGCTCATTTTAGGTGATCCCAATTTTGTTGGCAACATCCAAAGCATTGTAATCAGGAGCCAACAGAATATATGCCTTCCTCTCTCCATCAGGCCTGACCAGTGTTGACCTTGGCCCCATCAGTGTCATAGAGCTTCTTCACAGCCTGTTTGATCTGGTGCTTACTAGCTTTAACATCCACGAAGAACACAAGCATGTTGTTGTCCTCTGTCTTCTTCCTGGCCAACTCAATGGTCAGGGGAGCTTGAGAATGGCTTGTTTCCTCACTGCCTTCAGTGAGGAAGCCTTATTTAATTGTCTGTCTCTCCCCAGAACCCAGAAGAGTACTTGGCACATAGTGGGTATACACTAAAAAATTATTAAATATTTGAAATCTGAGATGAAAGTTAATGAATGTAGGTACAGGAATTGTACAAGGGATAGGAAGTACCTTGGAGAACTTCTGAAAGCTCCAGGCACATACTCGAAGATGGGAAGAGTAGGAATCAGCATTTTCAAAAGTCATTGGGGATGCCCATTTTTTTCTCTACTGTAGGAAGAAGGGTTTGCTTGATCTTACACCATTGTTAGAGCTTGAGCTTTGAGCAAGTGAGGGTTTACTCTTTGTTTTTTTTTCTTTTTTTCATTTCTAGGCCATTCCCCGATTTAACCAGAAAGGAGAAGTATATAAGGCACAGATAGTGAATGTGAGCTGGTCAGCTGATCACAGAGTTATTGATGGTGCTACAATGTCACGCTTCTCTAATTTGTGGAAATCCTACTTAGAAAACCCGGCTTTTATGCTACTAGATCTGAAATGAAGACCGATAAGACGTTCTTGAACTTTTTGAGCTTCCAAAGAGTATGTAAACCCTAGCTGTGCCAGCACATGTTCATCTTTACAATTTGTATTGTAAATGATTTGTATCGTATGATTAAGGATCTAAGGTACAATATTTGTCACTGTTATATTAGACTTTTTACTGAAAATGAATAATGGGGTAATGGTTCTCCTGGGGCTGTCACATTTTATAGACCAGAGTGTGACTTCTTAATATGGTGCTGACATTTTTGTGTCAATGACTTGAAACTGGCAAGATTAACAAAATTAGGCAGGGTGCGGTGGCTCACGCCTGTAATCCTGGCACTTTGGGAGGCCGAGGCGGGCAGATCACCTGAGGTTAGGAGTTTGAGACCAGCCTGGCCAAGATGGTGAAACCCCGCCTCTACTAAAAATACAAAAATTAGCCAGGTGTGGTGGTGGGTGCCTATAATCCCAGCTACTCGGGAGGCCGAAGCAGGAGAATCGCTTGAACCTGGGAGGTGGAGGTTGCAGTGAGCTGAGATCGTGCCATTACACTTCAGCTTGGGCAACAGAGCAAGACTGTCTCAAAAACAAAAAAACAAAATTAATGTTACTAAAAGACAGGTAGCCATATACAGACAGTATATGCCCTATTTTTTTTAACTGACTCTTAATGATACTTTTTAATTATACTTAAGAAACGGAATTTATATGCAAAAATATTTCCCATTTCCCTGTTATGCTAATTGTTGTATAAAATAAGTGCAATTATACTTCTCTTCGGAGATATCCAAGAGTATATTCTTGCTCTGTATAGAGAACATCATCTGTAAATGTCTTATTTATATTAATTAATGTCTTTGAAAAGGGAAAAGTATAAACTGGCCTTAAAAATGTCCAATTATAGTTTTATAACCAGTCTATTAAAGGTGTTTGTTTAAAATGGATATACTTTTAGATTTTTGGTAATGGTTCGGTATTTTCTTGGGAAAGACCTTCACCTTTGCAAACTTCCCTCATGTAAGGAAGGTACTTTAAAGGTAGCAGCCACTGACATTTCTTTTTTTTTTTTTAATTTCAGAAATCTACTTCCTTTTAACTTTTAGCAAAAAGTTAACTTTTAGCTAAAAAATAGGATAAGAAATTAAGGTCTATTCCATTCTTCATATCCTGGGTAAGAATGTAAATAAGAGGAGAAGGAAAAGTCTAATAGTAATTATGGATATAAAAAATAAGACATTTTATATAGAAATGAAGGTTTGATAATGATCATTTTGCTAAAGGTCTACTTTAATCAGAAATAGCATCAAGATTAATGTATCCAACATTTCAATTTGCATTAGGAAATCCATGTTGTTTCTAATATTGTCCAGTTGAAAACTGTATGCCAAAATTAGTTGTTTAAGTGAAGTTTTGTGACAGAAAAAAGGTTGTTTTAGTATCTACTTGGTTTTTCTCAAAATGGAAATAATTTTAAAATCAGGAAAGAATAAATCAGCCAGGTGTGATGACTTGTAATTGTAATCCCAGTTATAGGAGAGGCCAAAGCAGGAGGATCACTTGAGGCCAGGAATTTGAGACCAGCCTGGGCAGCATAGTGAGATCCCATCTCAAAAATTTTTTTTTTAAAAATTAGCCTGGTGGCTCACGCCTGTAATTCCAGCACTTTGGAAGGCCAAGGCGGGCAGATCACCTGAGGTCAGGAGTTCAAGACCACCCTGGCCAACATGGTGAAATCCCGTCTCTATGGTTTTGTAAAAATACAAAAAATTACCTGGGCCTTGCGACGCATGCCTGTAGTCCCAGCTACTTGGGAGGCTGAGGCAGGAGAATTGCTTGAGCCCGAGAGGTGGAGGTTACAGTGAGCAGAGATCATACCATTGCACTCCAGCCTAGGCGACAGAGCAACACTTTGTCTCCAAAAAAAAAAAAACTTAGCCATGTGTGGTGGTGTGCATCTGTAGTCCCATCTACTCAGGAAGCTGAGACAGGAGGATCAATTGAGCCCAGGAGTTCAAAGCTGTAGTGAGCTGTCATTGTGTCACTATCCTCCGGTGTGGGTGACAGAGTGAGACCTGGTCTCTAAAAAAAAAAAAAAAAAAAAAAAAAAGGTCAAATAAATGCTGTTATTGTAAAATTTCAGATAATACAAAGAGTTAACCAATAAAATAAAAAATCATTCATAATCTTACCACTATTAACATTTTGATGTATGTATCTGTATATATGGCTATTCTTTTTTATTAAAACAGGATCATAGTATATCTACTATTTTATTATTTGATTTTTAAAATATAACATTATATTATGGGTAACCTTACATGTCAATAAACAATTCCACATTATCATGCTTTAAATGGCTGCATAGGCTGGGTGTGGTGGCTCACGCCTGTAATCCTACCACTTTGGGAGGCCAAGGCAGGTGGATCACAAGGTCAGGAGTTCAAGACCAGCCTGGACAATATGGTGAAACCTCATCTCTATTGAAAATACAAAAATCAGCCAGGCATGGTGTCAGGCACCTGTAGTCCCAGCTACTCAGGAGGCTGAGGCAGGAGAATTGCTTGAACCAGAGGCGGAGGTTGCAGTGAGCCGAGATCGTGCCACTGCACTCCAGCCTGGGTGATAGAGTGAGACTCTGTCTCAAAATAAATAAATAAATAAATGCCTGCATAGTATTCCATTGTATGCATTTATTATACATTCAAACATTAAACATCTACCCATACCATGAGCTGAGATTGTGCCATTGCACTCCAGCCTGGGCAACAGAGCAAGACTCTCTCTCTCTCTCTCTCTCTATATATATATATGTATATATATATATACACACACACACACACACGCACGCACACACACATACACACACACACACATATCCAGGACAGCTTTTGATTTGTCTTTCTTGGTTCATGTGCCTGTCATTGTGGGCAGAATAGAATACTCTGTCCACACTTGAGTCTTATGGTCACCTTTGGAGCCTAGGAGTCAGCCATCCTCATTCAACTACATGAATCGAGAATGGGAATCTGGGAGAATTTTTTTCTGGGCAGATTAAAAAGGAAATCAACTATGTAAAGTAAGGCATTGCCTTCCCACCCCATCCCATCTCAGTTCATGTTCAATTATGAATTTTTCTAAGAGAGTTCTTTAATGACATGGATAGAGAGGAAGCTGAGGTAGCAGTAGAGTAGGGAGTAGAAGGCAAATACACAAGATACTACTAAACTGTGAGGCTGTTTGTTGCAATTGCAAGATTTTATAATTTCTCCAACAAAGAATATTTGTATTTTCTTCCCAGTTTAAGTTCAATGTTAATTTGAGAAATAATTCTACTCTCAAACTTCATGCTGTGCTGACAGTTCAACTGATGCTGTCAAAATACGAATTACTAGTTTCAGTATTCTCTATTCATCTGATTTTTCTTAAAATGGTTGCATGTTAATATACTTACTAGCTTTAATGCTCTACTCTTATACTGGCACCTTAATTGTGGTAAAAGGAAAAAGGTTAAGTTAAAATTTCCAAGCCTAGTTATTTGGTCAAACAGAAGATTAACAGAACTCCATGGCTTACCATAGGGATATTTATCAAGAGAAAAAGAAGATACATATTTGAATTTACATGACACTTTCTGTGAAATATCTGGATTACCAGATTAGTCTGAAACAAATACCTTCCAAATTCTACAATGCATGCCCAAGGCATTCTTTACAGTACCTGTTTGGGTCTTTTCTTCTAATTTTAAGCACCTATCCAAACATCTTCCAAAGGCTTGTCATAATAAGCAAATAACCTCAGAGCAGACAAAGTGATTTAACCTAAGAACCTTGAATTTCTCTCGTTTTCACCTCAAAATTTCTATTCTCACACTTTGTTTCTTTTTGTTTCTCTTTCCTAGAAGTGGTTCTCCATCAGCAAATACCAACTTTTTTCTGCCCTCTATTATTTATTCCATCTCTTCCTCCTGATCCCTGCCCCATATTGAACCCCCAATGCCCCACTTTGATCCTTCAGTCTCTTCCTCACATCCAGAACTGAACCAGATTTACTCCCTTAGCACACTGATTAAAATGTATTTCCATTTCCTTATGGAGGAGGTATTAGAGACTGATCCCAGAACTCTGCAAATTTCAGTTTGTCAGGGTAATGTTATGTGTCCATAAACCTGGCTCCTTTTCTTTCAGCCTGCAGTTAGGTAGGGCCATGTCATTTATTTGTAACTATTAGCATATGGGTATATGGGTTGAAGTAATGTAGGCCATTTCCAGACATGGCCCATAACACTTCTCAAGAGATTCTTCACATTCTGTCTCTTCCCCTCCAACATGCACCCTTCAAGGTTGAAGATGGCACCACACAAGATAGAAGGAGCCAGTGTTCCAAATGACTAGACAGAGCAGAATGCTGTCCTTCCTACACCCTAGCACTGATCGGTTTGGATGTGATACAGTTGAATAATACACTTTTATTGTTTCAAGACATTAATATTTTGACATTAATCTGCTAGTCTTGTTAGTAAAACTTGAACTCTGAGCTGTCTAATGCGGTAGCCTCCAGCCACATGTAGCTATTTAAATTTTAATTTTAATTTTAATTAATCAAAATTCAACTCAGATATACTAGCCACGTTTCAATTGCTCAGTAGTCACACTAATTAATTTAAATTTAAATTTAAATAGCTACATGTGGCTTATAGCGCCATACTTGGATAGCACAGATGTAGACTATTTCCATCAACACAGAAAATTCTATTGGATAGTGCTGCCTTAACTCATAAGACAGAAATGTTCTTATTTTTTAAATAGTCCCTAAAACAAACAAAAAACAAAGAACTCCCTTCTTCTCTAATGGCAAATTTCAGTTTGCCTAAAAGAAGACTCAGAATGCTTTTCTTATATTGTTACCTCTGACTGCCACTAAATGAATACATTTCCTGGGTTGCTCCTTCTGCCAGACTTCTTGAATGGGTGATCTTTAACTCCTTGCAATCCTGGCTTTTTTCCCCACTGCTCACCTGTCATCATTGTTGGCCACAACTCCCACCCAGATGTCTCCTAAATAGTTCTCTGAACCCACCTCTGTCCGATCTATAGACATTCATTCCAATGCTTTAGCATGTCAAGGTCATCAGATGACTCACCTCAGACAGTCAGACAGACTAGGTCAACTATGAACTATTTATGCCAAACCTAACATGATTCATGTTATCCTTGCTATCCCATCAAAATAACCACAGGCTTTTTAAAATTTTTTTGAGGCAAAGTCTCACTCTGTCACCCCGACTAGAGTGCAGTGGCGTGATCTTGGCTCTGCTCTCTGCAACCTCCATCTCCTGGGTTCAAACAATGCTCATTCCTCAGACTCCCGAGTAGCTGGGATTACAGGCATGCATCATCATGCCTGGCTAATTTTTCTATTTTTAGCAGAGACGGGGTTTCGCCGTGTTGGCCAGGTTGGTCTTGAACTCCTGGCCTCAAGTGATCTGCCTGTCTCCGCCTCACAAAGCGCTGGGATTACAGGCATGCGCCACCGTGCCTGGCCTGCAGCATCCTTTATTTTACAAAAGGCATTACCATTTAAACACTGAAGATAGCATGAATCTCTGAAGTTTGCAAGTTCAGAATAAAATGGAAATGAAAATTCATTATGTGATTGTCTCAGTACTGAGCACAAAGGCTTTTAACCACAAGCAAATTAATATGCTAGCCAGACCCTGTAAGAGAACTCTAGGCCAGCTTGCCAAAACTGAGCAGGAGAATTTGGAGACACTCCAGAGGAGAGCCACAGAAAGAACTGAAGCATGACAAGAATAATTGCAGTTCTGTTATAGAGAGGTCATCTATATCAGGCTTTTATGGAGTACCATGTGGAATGTTACAACGCAAAGCATGGGGAACAGCTGTTGTGAGTCTTAACAAGAGATAGGACAGAAGAAATGAGAACAGGTGGAAGATCAAGAATTTAGGTTTGGTATGGAGAAAGATGGAACAGTCAAAGAAAGGGATTCACACTGATTTTTGGCTGAGCAGAAGGCAGAGTCTCCTCCAACGGGCAATGCAAGTGCCCCCACCCATCTACACCCCAAGAAGAGCCATCAAACTGTATTAAACTTGGAAAAAGCTATTTAACTTCAAGTGTGCTGCAAGAAAACTTCATTAACAGTTCCCAACATGTGCTAAAAAGCAAAGTCCAAAAAGACCATAAAGTCTGTAGAGAAGTTGGAAGAGTGCAGTCAGCTATAAAAACCTAGCAATTTAATTTCTTAGAAAAATGTAGCTGGAGTTCAAACTGTAGTAACAAAGGCAAGTAAATTAAGTTGTGGGCAGGTGTAATTAAGTTAATAGGAATGGCAGGGATGAATATAAATCAGAACAGGACTAACAGTTTGAAACATTAGGTATTCAAATGCTCAGAACTGATGAGCCAAGCGACTACGCTAACAACTCTGCAAACCAAAGGTTTCACAAATTGCACAAGAACCTGGCCTCGATCCCATTGTGCTGCTGGCGTAAGATTAGAAGGGCCTGTTGGTTCAAATGTTGCTTTGGTCAGAGCAGGACAAACTTGCCACAGCAAAGATATCATTTTTAAAAACCACCACTGTCCTTTAGTGCACTAATTTCTCTAATACTTAGGTGTATATTAGAAATAATGATATATAAGTGCAGTATACTCCAGTTTCAACAGAATGGTGTCATTTCTGTAAAATGTTGATTTTCAGATTGTCATACTTTCTAAATACAAAAATTTGTCACAGCTTCCATATTTACAAGATATTAAACATTCTGTACAATATTTGTAGAAATATGAAAAACCAATTTTTGTAGTTGCCTTTTGAAATGTATACAAAATATCCAATGTGGGCAACATGGTAAAACGTCATCTCTACAAAAAAAAAATATGTATATATATACACACACACAAAAAGTTAGCCAGGCATGGTGGTGCACGCCTGTGGTCCCAGCTACCTGGGAAGCTGAGGTGAGATCACCTGTGCCCAGGAGGTGGAAGCTGCAGTGAACTGTGATTGCACCACTGCCCTCCAGCCTGAGTGACAGAGTGAGACTTTGTCTCAAACAAAAAGAAACATATACAAAATATATTAGAAAGTTGGGTTAATATCTGTCAAACAAAGGATTACAAAATTTGCACAGGATTATGTGTGTAAAAAGTT